TAGGTGAATGCTCTTCCGTGAATGCGATTACGATTAGCTCCATCATCAAAAGGAGAGCGTATCAAAGTGACCTCCTCAACAAATTGAATGACACCAACAGTCGACTAAAGACAATGGCCCTATCCCACGGATGGGACTTCATCAACAACGACTCTATCGAGCCAATTCAACATCTATGCAATGATGGCATACATCTCAGTCCTGAAGGGGTTAACTTATTCGCCCAGAATCTTATTCGCCACATCAACTCAGAACGAGATAGTCGATTACAGAGAGATGATCAAAACGATAAACCTGTATTCCCCATCCCAAATGATGTTCAACAAATACATATTGATCGAAGGACTTTATCCTCCACCTACGCCACTCGCCATCCCTTCCCATCTGACCCGCATCCATTCTCCATGACAATGCAGAATCCGCATCAGCAAACTGCGTCATACGTGTCTGAAGGACCACAACTGCAACCTCCTACAATGAGCTATGCGCATGCTGTTTCTTCCCCTCGCTACACAGGATGTTTTTACTGTGGAGAAACAAATCACAAGCACCTACACTGCCGTTTTGGAGAAAAGATTAGGTGCTACCTCTGCAATGAAACTGGACACAAACGTAAATTCTGCAAAAATACATATACCTGCTAAAAAGCAGGCCAGGAAGACTGTGCCGATAATGATGCACTAAAGAAACACTCAACTCGTACTTATCTCTCTCCCGAGTTACCGATATCACATGAATCTCATATGAGAAACGTTGCTAGTTTAAATTCTGCTCTTCCTTTATTGAGTACTTGTAATCGAGAAGCTGACATAAATAACACCGATGAAGCAAGTGATTTTTCTGCTGATGAACATGATAGCGTCAGTGTGACCGAAAATTACACACCATTAAATAACCATGAAGTTGATGAGAAGGTTAGCCAGCATATATGCTTCTCTGACTCTAACAGTTTAACCTTATTGCAACTCTAATGATTTTGAACTGAATCATAATCTTTTTATCTCCGAAAATCATGATGAAGAAGACACTTTTTGTTGTCCTTATAACAATGATGAGGATGAAGTTTCTTCTATTCCCAACGAGAGCAATGTAATCATCACTTCTCATATTAGTAGTGATGAGATTAGTACCACTAACCAGGGTGATTCGAGAAAGAGTGGTTATTTTTTTGGTAAAACTCATAGTAGAATAAAGAGAAATTGTGGATTGCGATTTGCTCATCTAAATATACGATCACTTTGCTCTAATTTTGATGATTTACAGGTGATTATATCTGAAAATAATTTTGATGTTATTGCATTGAATGAAACTCGTTTATGTGAATTTATATCAGATGATAATATACGCATTGATGACTATGCCGTGTACAGAAAGGACCGTAATAGACAAGGTGGGGGAGTGCTTTTATATATCAATGATAACCGACTTAAGCATAAAATCAGGTCTGATCTCATGACCGAGGATATTGAAATGGTATCAGTCGAAATAAGTCTTCCTAAATGTTCACCCATAATATTAATTGCCTGGTATAGACCGCCGGGATCTCTTATTAATTTGTTTGACAAGTTCGAATCTATATTAACGAAATTGGACAATGAGAACAAAGATATTATTGTTCTAGGAGATTTGAACTGTGACCTGCTTGCATGCCCAGCAAGTTGCTATACGATGCGATTAACTGAGATTTGTGATACATTTTCATTGGTTCAAGTAATTAATAAACCAACTAGGATTGTACAGAATTCAAAGTCACTTATTGACTTAATCTATGTTTCAAATTTTTCAAAGGTAGCCGAAAGCGGAGTTATCCATACCGGAATAAGTGATCATTCCTTGGTATATATCATATGGGGGAAAAATCAAAGCGAAAAAACACAACATGTATATAGCACCTATAGAAGCTACAAACAATTCGATAATGATTCATTTTGTGCTGAATTCAGGAATAAAAACTGGAATATCGTTCTTAATGCATGTGATCCTAATGAATCTTTAAATGAGTTTAACCGTTTGGTATTGAGGATCTGTGATAAACACGCACCTGTCCGAAAAAGAAGAGTAAAACTTGATAGACCTCCATGGATCAATGCAGACATATTGAACATGATGCGTAAAAGAGACGCAATGAAACAGAAAGCTATTGACAGAACTCTGAAAGAAAACGAAGAGAAAGAAAGTGCTGAAAATGAAAACTATGTTAGAGAAGGCAAGGAAAAGGAACATCATGTCAATGAAATCAAAGCTACTAAAGAGTGGTTAAATTATAAAAAGATGAAAAACTATGTATCTTCAAAAATTAGGCAAAGTAAAAAAGAAACTTTTCATTATCAGATTGAAAACTCATGTCATGACGTGAAAGGAACATGGGCAACGTTGAATAAATTATTACTACGTAAAAGGTCAGGTAATAGCATAACATGTATAAAAAATGAGGAAGGAGATATACTCGACTCAAAAACTATTGCTCAAAAACTAAATGAGTACTTTGTCAGCGTTGGACCATCTCTTGCCAAAAACATTCCTTCTGCAAATAATTGTGTTAACGAGACTTTAGTAACACCGGCACACCATTCTTTTCAGTTTAGACAAGTGGATTCAAACGCCGTTTTAAAGGTACTAAATAGCCTATCGTTGAAAAAGGCAATGGGGTGTGACATGATTCCAGTTAAGCTGATTAGAATGGTCACCCCGTACATTGTGCAGCCTCTGACGTCTATAATTAACTCGTCTTTGCACACAGGAATTGTACCTAATGTGTGGAAAAAAAGCCCGAATTGTTGCGATTCACAAAGGAGGGTCTAAGGAACTGTGTAACTATAGACCTATTTCGATTTTACCCATACTATCAAAAGTTTTAGAGAGAATGGTCTTCAATCAAATCTATGACTACTTAAATGCCAATACATTGTTGAGCATTTACCAGTCAGGATTTCGACCCAATCACTCTACAGCTACTGCTCTACTAAATGTAACAGATGACTGGTTAACAAGCATAGATGAAGGTCAAATTGTATGTGCGGTAATGCTAGATCTAAAAAAGGCTTTTGATACCGTTGACTATGTGTTACTATTGAGAAAATTATGTATGTACGGGTTGGATGAACCATCACAGCTATGGTTTTCGAACTATTTACATGGTCGAGTACAATCTACATCTGTTAACGGTATAATGTCAGATTTTTTGCCAGTTGAATGTGGAATTCCCCAAGGATCCATTTTAGGACCCCTGCTCTTCATATTACATGTTAATGATTTGCCGCGTGGCCTCACCCACTGTAAAGTAAGCATGTATGCTGATGATACGGTAATATATTGTTCGGCAAATGATACCATAGAATTGAGTGAGAAGATTAATGAAGACCTAGAATATGTTAAAAAGTGGTTGATACAAAACAAACTAAATTTGAATATAAAGAAAACTGAATACATTGTATTCGGTACGAAGCAACGTCTGGAGAAAGTTAAAGATAATGATTTAAACATTACTATAGACAATACTGTGTTAACTCGAGTTAGTAAGTGTAGACACCTTGGGCTAATTTTAGATGAAAGGTTATCATGGCAAGAACATATTAATACTATTCATAAAAAAGCAAGTAACGGATTATATATGCTGAAATCTATAAGAAATATAGTAAATGAATATGAAATGAAATTGGTTTATAATTCACTAGTATTGTCTCACTTAAATTATTGTGATGTAGTATGGGGTGGATGTGGAAGTACACAGAAAAACAAATTACAAAAAATCCAGAATAGAGCAGCTCGAATAATTAATAGGTCCTCTTGGTATTCCTCATCAGATGAAAATTTAACAAGACTAAATTGGAATACACTTGACAATAATAGAACAAAGAATGTAGCAATTATGATGTATAAGATTGTCTCAAAACAAGCTCCTGAGTATTTAGTAGAAAGGTTTATATTTGCAGACCATACATACAATACACGTTCAAGTCTGTATAATGTGAAAACAATAAGACCAAAGACTGAGACTATGAAAAGATCTTTTAAATATAGAGGGGCCTTAACATGGAATAACTTGCCGCATGAAGTACAAGGTGCTAAATCGTTAAATATTTTTAAGGCAAAGCTGACGTAATACGAAATAAGTGTGTGGGGAGGGGCTAACTTATTAGTTTAAGAGAGCTTTGTTGTTGTTTGTTTTTAAGGTTTTATAGTTGTATACAATTTTTATCTCATAATTTCAACCTATTTATCATTGTTATTTATGTTATATTACTCCTACGCAATATGTTTTAAATGTCTATTCGTGTGCAATATGATCTTTGCAATACGTTATCAGTTTTTGTCTCTTTAAAAACAAAAACAATTATATATGTAGTATTTAACTGATCCATATTCATAATGCTCTTAAGTATTTATTATTATTCCATACTTCATTTTACTTCTACATTCTACATTATGTGTGTTTTCTTTTGTTTATTGTTTTAAAGTTTGATTATTTAATATTTAACATGAATACATAATATGTTTTTAACTTATTTATAATCTTGTTAAACTTCTTTTTGTTTTTACTTTATATATATATGCAAACAGATTATGATGATCATATATGTAACTTATTTAATTGTTTATCTTTTGGGTCTACCAATATAGTTCTAATTAAGTAAAGTGTTTTTAGCTTATTTCCTATTATTGTCGTGTTATGGTTGTGAATCTGTCAGTGTTATATTACTTTTGTTTATATGTCATGATTATGTTGTTTTTTATCGACACGGCCCTGATTGAAACCAGTCTGCGAACTGTTTCGGGCTTTTACCGTGTATAAATAAAATAAACTCAAACTCAACTCATTTATTCTTAATAGATCTAGATAATAATATACATTCTCATATGTTTTGGAATAATACATTGCAAGTGTTTGTTTACGTGACTGCTAAAGCATATGTGTGCTACTATGCTTATCAACTAGGGGACCTACGGCCTTAAGTAATAACTGACAGTAATGAGGATTAATGCCTCACAAAAGGGACCTAATATAGCACATCGACACGGTTTTGATCCTCGGGCCTCACAGTTACAAAGCCGATTTTTGCCACTAAATCATGACTGTACGCAGCGGGGGCTAGCGTAGGGGGCTGTCCCCACAAATAAAGGACAACAAATTAAATGCAATTACGTTATCAATAATTCAATGCATTTTACCCCGATCCCCAACGTTACAAAAATCCTCTGTTTGGCCATGCCTTGAACCATGTAACAATAAATTACAAATTTTTTCACTTAGCCACGTTTCTGACAAGGTCAGAATATTTCGTACGGATTTTGTTTCAACTATAATTGCAAATCCTGCACCTTATTTCTAAGACTACGAATATTTAAATGTGCAATTTTCAACCCTTTACCCTTTGGAAAGTCATTTATAGAGGTTCATGTATTCGTACTTAATTCAATGTCGATATCAACAGAATTTAGTTCACAATACTATCTTTTACTATGAAGCGGCATTTCTTGCAAAATACATTTGGTACATTGCCAATCATTCCACAAACTGGGGTAACAAACAAAAATCATTCCACCTTAATGACCAACAGTGTATTTCATGAATTCTCTGCATTATTTGTCATACAGGCATCGGTGTTATCAGCCGGGGTCATTGGTGCAGTAACAGAGTCATATGTAGGAGGAGACTCGACAGGAGCCGGGGATGGAGGAACATAGGGTGGAGCAGGGTCTGTAGATTCTGAGGATACTCCATCAATATGCGTAGCATTGGTAGCTGACGAGTAAGTAGCAGGAGTACCCGTCGCTATGATTGTTTGAGAACGTCGACTTCTATAGCAGCAACCGATGATAAGACACGTTGGTACAACCACAGCAATGGCGACTAGAAAAACCTCCCATCCACCGAGACCGGGTTGCCAACTTACATCTTCGTCTGAAACAGCGAAGCAAAAGCACTTCATCAGAGTTTAGTTTGTAATTTCTTCATGACTATCAAAACATTCACTTCCTTGGGGTATGGATCGAATGAAATTGGCCAAATTTCTGCAGGCATTATTTCAAAGAACAATATAGGTTAAAACATGACCTTGTGATCTGCCGTGTACAGCGTTACAAATCTATTTATTTGACTTGTAGCCAAAGAGGTTTAATCATCTGTTGTGTAGCCTGTGTACCCAATGTGTCATTTCAATGGTTGTAACCTCGTATTATGCCTTTGATCACTGTAATCAGAGCATGCGCTAGTAAATTCAACGCAATGTTTGCACTGCCCACCATTTATTAAAAGAAAAAAAGAAATCTCTCTCAATTGCCTCGTCAAAGACCACACCCAGTCACTGACGCGTCAGCAAATGACGTCTCGTAACTTACATTATGCCCAGTAGAAAAGATGCGTCAGTAAATGACGTCTCGTAAACGTATGCATTATGCTCGTTAGACACGATGCGTCAGTAAATGACGTCTCGTTAACGTATGCATTATGCCCCTTAGACACGACGCGTCAGTAAAGCTATAGTCACAAATCAGAGCAGCGACCGACCGATCAGTAGCCTGCTCGGTCGCTGCTGGAATTGAGGCATCGCCCAGCGATTTATGGAGAAGTCGAGCAGGCTGTAGAGCCCCAGCGATGCTTGGGCGGTGACCTGTCGATTTCCCGTCGGTCGCCGGTCGATTTTAGGTCAAAACTGGGCGAAATAGCGGAGCTTTTTCGCGCGGTGTCCCGGCAGTGACCAACCGGTGACCCCCCGATTGCCGGGCGGTCTCCCACCAGCCACCGGCTGATTTTAAAGAAATTGCCCGGCGGCCGGCCAGTGATCGGCGGGGCTCCAAAATACGCCCGGTGCCTGGCCGTTCGCCGCCCGGGCACCGAACTAATCGAGCGTTCGCCGCCGAGCGATTTAGGTCAAAAAGCGAAGCCGCTAGGTCAAAGGCTGCCGACTGATTTTGGACTCGCCGCCCAGTTACTGACTGATCTCCCAGCGGCGAACGGGCGGCGACTGCTCGACAGCCTTTGACCTAGGGGCTTCGATTTTTTTCCTAAATCGCTCGACGGTGAACGCTCGATTAGGAAACGAACGGTGCCTGGGCGGCCGCCGCTCGGTGGCCGGGCAAAATTGGCTAAAAACTCGCCGCTCGGTCGCCGAGCAGGCTATTTTTGGGTAATGTGACCATAGCATAAATGATGTCTCGTTAACGTATGCATTATGCCCGTTAGACACGACGCGTCAGTAAATGACGTCTCGTAAACGTATGCATTATGCCCATTAGACATGCGATATAATTTGACGTAAGACTGCGTTAGTGATTGTTGCGGTCTTTGACGCTCCATCAACGAGTGACAGCGTACAAACATTGATTGCTAAACGAAGCACAATGAATTGAATAACAGTGGTATGCACTAATTTCCATCATTATGCTTGATTAGCAGCTAGAGTAAGAATGTTATAGAATTCGATCCATGTACATGTGGAAGTATATAAGCAATACATCGGCATTCTACTGGTAACCTCATAATAATGTCTGATCGGCTTCTCAACGTAATTGTGATTATCTGTCTGGTCGCGATGGGCAAATCAACGATTCCTACTTACCTGGATAATAGTCATCCGTCTGATCCATATTGACGCATCTGGCTGTAGCCATGTTATTCCTTGAACAATAGTCAGGATCAGGTTCACCCCATGGACCATGTCTGCATTTATATATCTTGTCCTGGTCAAAACCATATGAACCGGAGTAACGGGTACAATATGACAAGCGGAACCAGATTGGACCATTTGACGTGTATTTCCCATCGTAGTTACTTAAGCTACCGCTCATCGTTAAATCCGTATGACCTAGCTGACTACAAAGGATCTAATGTTAAGATAGAAATAAAATGATATGCTTTATCATAAAATAAACTACATGAATCAAAATTATTATATGAACATCGTTAAATCCGTATTAAAATCAATAAAAATCAATAAAAACACCAAGAAAATTAACACTATTAACCTTATTTAATGGAACCTCATCTATTTTTATAAACAAATTATCAAGCGAATTAGTGTATCAAGCGAATTAGTTGTTAGGTACGACCTGTTTACGTGTTGCTACGAATAGTTACGAGTATTTACGAGTCCTTACGAATTTTAGCCCAAAAAATGAGAACTGAAAATGAAGTGTTCGAATTTGCAGCTTTTATACCTTTCCCCAAATCGTAAACAGTTTGTAAGCATACTTAAAGTATTAAAGTAAAATTGCCTCTCCTTTCACGGATCCTTGAGAGTATATACGAGTTGGCGATCCGTAAGGACTCGTAAGAAAAATCCGTGTATGTGAAGGGGGTATTAAGGATCCGTTGAAGGAGAGGCATAGTTTTTGACATGTCAAAAATCTTCTTACGATTGACTCCCTTTGTCCATGGATATTTTTTTCTGTATATAACTCGTTACGATCCGTAAGTATCGTAAACCGCCCTTAAACCGCTCGTAAACCGCTCGCATCAACACATAAACATCCGTCAACTGCTCGCAAGAATCCGTAAATGACTCGTAACAATATTGTTAACGACTAGTTAGGGTAAGTTTACGATTTGTTTAGGGATTATTTCGAGTGCTAAAGCGTTGTTTACAATTTCATTCGGGTCGTGTTACGATGGCTTTACGGATTGTTACAAGTTATTACGAGTACTTAACGTGTAGTTACAAGTACTTTACGAATAAACTTTATGTATTCTTACGTATTGTTTACGATTTGGGGAACGGTGCAAAAGCTGCAAAATCGTAAGGAATCGTAAATACTCGTAGCAACACCCGAGCAACACGTAAACAGGTCGTAAAATGCCCGTAAATTGCTCATAGTTATCCGTAACTACTCGTACTAATCGTTGAATTTTGCCGCATATATACATTGTAATAACTCGTAATAATCCGTAATAAACCGTATATATAGCTCGTAAAAACTCTTAAATCGGTCGTAAAAGTGGCCAAATCGTAAGGATCCGTGAATTGTGCGATTCATAAGAAAAATTCGTGTATGTGAAGGGGGTGTTATGGAACTCTCATGTTTGAAAATCTACCTATTGAATTATTTACATTACTTGCACTAAAATGTTATACAAGGTGAACAATATAAAAAATGCAAATTAAAAAAAAGGTATGCGGGCTATTTTTTGTCGTTTCATTATACCAATACTTTCCCCTCCAAATCTAAAATTTCTCTTGTGATGCAACATAACAAGCTGGAATGTAACTTCAGTCGGTAAATTCAAAACTCGTTGGAAAATGACATTGTATTGACCTAAAAAAATATATTTTACATTCTTAATTAAGAAAAAGGAGCCTCATTTCCTTGACCAAAGCAATAAACTCACCTCATGATCGTAAAAAGAATAGTCGCAAATTGGACCCCATATTCCATCATGATATATCTCAATGACTCCATAATTTACATTGATCACTCCGTTCTCGTCTCTGAACCTCACGGGGTGGTTTGCTACACTCTCTGTGGATTCAAATATAGGAAATAATTATGAAAAGAATAGTTCTAAATAAACCCTCTCAATCCTCAAAAAACCTTTCAGTACTTAAAGGGACTTGGTAACATTGTTCAGATGAGAGAAATACGTGCTGCTAAGGTAGTGACTTCAATGCTAGATGTACAATTAGGCCCGAATTCACAAAGCAAGGTTTGAGCTCAGACCGGGTTTGAGCTCAAACCTCCTTTTGTCTCGCCAAACCTCCTTTTGTTATTTACAAACCAGGTTTGTAAATAACAAAAGAAGGTTTGGCGAAACAAAAGGAGGTTTGACCTCAAACCTTGGTCTGAGCTCAAACCTTGCTTTGTGAATTCGGGCCATAAAGTCTGAAAATCTAAAAGTTTGAGTGAAAACGGACCGTTATTAGTGATATAAATTGGAATTCTCCCAACTATATTATTACAATTTAATTTCATTTTAGGTGAATGTAAATCGTCACAAAGCAATGAATTGGCTCTTTATGCCATTCCAGACATGTAAGTGTTGAAAGATTTTTAAAGGCCTGTCTTATGTCTTCTTTTCATGGAAAAACGGTTGAGAAAATTCAAAAAAAGCTGGGAGAACTTACTGTTAATCACTGTTAGAGGGTGTTACACAGTGACACCTTCACAGAAAACCGTAGATATCTTTGTGGTTTGAGATTTTGTTCAGGACTTTTTGCATGTTAGAGGGTTGGTACAGTAAAAGGAATATAATATGTGACATTTCATACAAAAAAGATGCGATTTTTTCCAGCAACTCTCAACAATGTTACCGAGTCGCTTTAAAAGGAAACCTCACCCCAAGAAATAACTTTACTTATTCTGACAGATTTATTATATTTTTGCCCATTAATCTACAAGATTCCTCATCGAAGTGTGTGAGAGAGGCATTATAATGTACAGTTTCTCAGCACGACATGGGCATCGCCATTTTCTTGATAATGTGACGTACTACGTGAATTAAGTCGCTTATCAAGTAAATGTATTCAAATCTATGGATGCTTCCTTACCAGGTGTGTGTGGTGATGAAGCATTTCATTCACCTGCTATTATCCTTTGTACTACAATTGCCAGAATGCAAATTGCATAAATAATGTTGTGCTCTTCTTGGGGGAAGGTTTCTCATTGATGAAATTGATTTGTCAACTGCATGTTATATTATAATAGTTTGTAATGAATTAGTTACAATTGCCACCCTGTTATACATTTTTCACAAAATAAAATTTCGATCTTCTCAGCGATGATTTTTCCTCATTGAAAAGTTAAGGTTTTGTTATTGATTAAAAAAGTCTTCCAACTAAAGCTTGGTTCATGATACATGTACAACTTTAACTAGTACGTCACATTTTCAAGAAAAAATCTTCGCCCATGTGACGCTAAAAGGCATCACATTATGCCAAGAAATATCTTCAGTACATCAAAATCTTCTTCTTCTCTTTCTTCTCAGTACGTAGGCCTACACTTATTATCTGGGATGAGGTTTCATTTAACCACGTATACACGACTTTGGAACGGAAATAGGAAGTTGCGATTTCCTTAATCAGATACAAAGTACGATTCCATGACATTTGCTCCGGCGACAATTGCTCCGCTTTAAATTTCATACACTAATCGAATGGCTAACTTCAACCCTGGATTCAACACTATACCCTACCCTAAACCTAACCCTAAACCTAACATAAAACCCTATTGAAACCCTAACCCTAACCCTACATCTTAGACGAAATAAAGCCCGGAGCAATTGTCGCAGGAGCAAATGTCGTGTCACCACAAAGTACTTCACAATTTGCTGAACAAAATAGTACTTGACCACTTTAACAACCAGGACAACAGAAGAACACTTCAAGAAGAAGGGTTGAACCAATGAAAAAGAACAAGGACAATTTGCGTTCCTTAATGGAGCTCTCACACTCTGCCGTGTAGGCCTACCGTCCACCTGCCGGGCTATTAAAAAACAACAGAGTCCAGAACGTTGGGTTTTGAGCGAACTTGTCCCCAGCCGCAAAAAAAAATTCATAAAATTAATCTTTTCACCGTTTCGTTGCCATCTTCTGACCGTTCTCACCGGGCACATACCGGGTGTTAAACGTGCTTCTACCGTCTTCACCGCCCAGATTGACTTTTGTTGACAATTTTGGCCGTTTCCATACCGGGCCCATACCGGGTCTCGAACGTGTGCACCGGGTTTGTAGCAGCCACCTACCAGTCACTTAGCGTCCCCTCACCGCTCGGACGTTATGGGAACGTCAAGGCGTTAACAGGATGTTACCCATGCGTTAACGCCCGTTGGCAGTCCGGTATGAACACTGTAATGAGAACGGTATGAATACGTTATGAAGACGGTGGCACGGTATCAACACGTTCATGACACGTTCACAACCCGCTTACAACCCGTTGCAGACGGTGGATATTTTTTTTGCCCGTTCATCACCGTTCTGTAACGGGTTATGAGCGTGCTGTGAACGTGTTCATACAGTGTGACCGTTTTCATAACGTATTCATACCGTCCTCATACCGTTCAACACCGTCCTCTTGCCGCTTACTTGCGGCCGGTGCCAGCCGGCCAAAGTTTTGAACATGCCCAAAACTTTCGCCGGGTCCCACCGGGTGTAAATAAGCGCCAACGCCCTATTAACGTGTTGCCCGCTTTGATAACGAACCACCGTGTGCCCTCGCCGTTCTCCACCGTCCGCAGACATTTTCGCGCCCGGTGGCACACGGTAGGCCTACACGGCAGAGTGTGAGAGTCACTTTATCAACCTTGCCCGCCTCCAAGCCAAACCAAAAGTACGTGAGGTTTTGATCAGAGACATGCTATTTGCAGATGACGCTGCTGTCGCAACCCAGACGGAGCAGGAGCTCCAGACCCTAATGGACAGTTTCTCCAAGGCCTGCAAGGACTTTGGGCTGACTATCAGTCTGAAGAAAACGAACGTCCCGGGACAAGGTGTAGTAGCGCCGCCATCCATCACCATTGATGACTACAAGCTGGAAGCTGTGAGCCAGTTCACGTACCTTGGGTCCACCGTTTGCAGCAACCTCTTCCTGGACGCAGAGCTTAACAAGAGAATAGGAACCGCAGCAACAACACTCGCTCGCCTCACCACAAGGGTGTGGGGTAACACCAAACTCTCTGTCAAGACAAAGATGACAGTGTACAATGCCTCCGTCCTCTGTACGGGAGTGAGACGTGGAAGACCTATGCCAAGCAAGAGAAGAGACTTAATGCCTTCCATTTGAGGTGTATCCGCCGCATACTCGGCATCTCATGGAAGGACAAAGTGCCGAACACCGAATTCCTATCTCGTGCCGGCCTTCCAAGCATGATTACCCTCCTCAGGCACCGCAGACTCCGCTGGCTAGCCCATGTCCATCGTATGGAGGATCGATGGCCGAATCCCCAAGAACATCCTCTACGATCAACTGACAACTGGCAAGAGAAACACTGGCCGCCCTCAGAGATGTAGTTAAGAGGGACTTAAAGGCTCTGAAGGTTAACACGGAACAGTGAGAGGTACTCGCCACCGACCGCTTGAGCTGGAGAAGTACCCTGACAGTGCGACTGCATGCAGAGGACGACCAACTGAAGAGTGCAGCGGAAGAGAAGTGGACTCGCAGAAAAGAACGCTGTTACTCACACGGCACAGGGATAATCCTCATGTGCGACTTGTGTGACAAAGACTGCCACTCAAGCATCGGTCTGTTCAGCCACAGAAGGTGCTGTTCCAGCAGGACAGACAGATAGGATTCACACCCATGGTCTTCACAGACTGAAGGAGGCCTACGATGATTAGGAATAAATCATTGTCAAAATCATTCCATAAATTGGGGTAAACATATTATTCCACCTTAATGACCAACAGTATAGTTAGAGTAATACCTTTATTGAAGTTTATGAAATCTATACTTTGTTTAATCAGTGTGTTCATCTAGGCAAATGCTCCACGAGGAGGAACTGAAATTAATAGCTGCGATCCCCTTCTATCGCCATAAAAATAAAAAATAAATCTTGAAATGTACAAGGGTGAGTAACTAATAATTCAACAATTCAACAATATCCTTATAACAAACTGTAACAAGCTGATAAACCTTGCACTTGAGTACCATGTTCAACAATTGCAAATGTTTTTGTAGCCTTTTGTAGGCCTATTGTCTTATAAAACTGTAGAGAAAACATTCACTCAAACATTTGAATACATGTTGATTATAAACAATTTATATTTATATACATACTTTTTTTTACAAATGAATCTCATTATACCTGGAAAATGCGCAAGCTTTTTTCAGAAATAATTTGCAGCCGCCAGACCCTATGCAATTATGCAGATACAATGTACCTGGGGATCGGATTTCTGTTTAGAACTATACAACTTTCCTTCTCTGCAAAGTCATTTATGATAGTGACAGAAAATTTACATAAGATAAATTGTACCTCATTTCAGGATACTCGATGTACGCTGTACAGTATAGGTTTTAGTAGAGCTCACAAAAGACTGTATTTCTGTATACAAAGGTCATTCTCATTCACCAGGGAGGTGTTGATTTGGGAATTCGAAATTTGTCCTTATCATATAGGCGAAAATTGTAAATAACGGTAGTTTATAGTCACATACAGTAAACAACTGAACACTCATTCATACCCTTACCAAGTTTTGTATTTTTTTGAGTATGTGAAACGTTGATTTGTCCCGATTAACATTTCTTGAGAGTGTGACATATTGAAGTTTACATCTTAAAGTATTCTAGATTTACGAAAAACACTATCAACATAACATTTACAAGGGGTATAAATAATTTAGTTGTTGTTAAAGAAAAGCGTGTAATTACCAAACAATAAATGATTTAACCGAGAAAATAATAGATACAATGTTATTATAGGCGACACTTGAAATATGCTCATCAGCACGTGAGCTATACCCTTGTATCCCACTAAAGGCCATTCAATATTATACAAGTATCTTTGCATGAAACACATTTTGCTCGATATGCGTATAACTTCTTGAAAAAATTTGTATCAATTTTGTAAAGAATAGAATTATAGATTTACACAGTAGTACACTGGATAATCAAAGAATATTTACCATATGGAAAACAGAAAGCACTGACTTCATCATGCTCCTGTTGGGTTGAATTAGGTCCGCTCAACTCTAGTATGAAGCAATCAGTTATTTTCATATCATTGTAACCACATGATATATCGTCTATAAGAATTGGACGCGAAGAACGAGCAAATTCACCCCCGTAGTAGTAAAATGCACCTGCATATCCAAGATGACGACAGACTGTATCACGGTCTATAGAGGAATAGTAGCCTGCAGCTACGTAGCCCCACTCGCCTTTAAGAAAGACTTCTAGACGACCTTGCTCAGTGAAATCACTCCCAACCATTCGTAGGTCAAAGTCTAAATCAAAAAAATCATGAACACATAGAAAAAAGAAGAAGCAAGAATCAATATCAAATCATCAACTAAGAATCTTCTATCTACATAATTATCAAGGTATTTTCTCCCAGTTACAAGGTTGATCGCAACATTTTTCCTCACATCTCTGTTTCTGCCATTCTAGTACACTCTTCCACTCCATGTCTTAATGTTTCCCTTCTAACTAGTTCTTCTTTTTGGTATGATAGAGTAAGGGTTAGGATCCTCGCATAAGCCATATTTAAAGCATAAGAAGAACAAGAAATTTGGGGCTGAAATGTAGAAGTATCGCAGGGGTTGTCAGAACTCACTGCACACACCCCCAGTATAGTACGACAATACTCTGTAAAGAGGTCTGTACTAAAAAAAAAAAAGGAAGAAGAAGAAGGATAAAATGAATGTAACGATAAATATAACAGTGGTCCCATCAGGCTGATAAATTGTTGTGATTCTGTCTGTCGAGGGGCACGGGCTTTCTTCTGACGTGACGCCACATCGAGGGTGTAACATTTTTGGCTTTCAGAAATAATCATTTATCTTTGTCCTCAGAAAGACGGTGCCAAGAGATCTCAACGAGAGAACAATCAAATAACATAACGCCAACCTGATGATACCGTCTCGGTTAATTGGGTCCCAGATTCGTGTCCTGTAGTGAAAACCAGGCTGAGGTCGAATATTGAAAACCAAATCTGGACGTAAATATTTAGATTGCAAAGTAGCAACAGCCGCAGTACGAATAACGCATAGGATAAGCATCACGCAGAAGCACTAGCTGAAGAGGAAATGACAATGTTGAGATCAAGGACATGGTTTAGGGTTGGAAGTTAGCTACTGTTACAGTAATCACCTGTTATAGTCCAATCAATAATTTTTCCTTATTCAATCAAGCTCTAGATTTCTACAGGGAGAGTCAGAACAAATTTCCCACTTTTTAAAAGTTGAATTGTTTGAAGTATGAATATTACATCATGGGTTTCATGATATGTCTTGATAGAGTTTCTCCCAGTACATTTACGTAACATTTTCATTTGATTCTCTGCAGACTGCATGCATGACTGAACATCAGACAATCTTTACAAGACTGCCAGATCTCACTTGCGCCAAGTTGCTGGGTGAGGAATAAAATAGAGTTTTGAACAAAAACAGCCAGACACGTGGGTGCGTGTGGGTGTGTATGCATTCGCTTGTGTGTACGTGTGTGTTTGTTTGTGTTTCTCTGTGTGTGTCTGTGTCTGTCTGACTGCCTTGTTCAATGCACTGTTTTATTCCTCGCCCAATAACTTGGCGCAAGTGAGATCTGGCAGTCTTGTAAAGATTGTCTGATGTTCAGTCATGCATGCATAAATTCATATGAAAATAGTACCTAAATGTACTGGGAGGATGACTCAATCAAGACATATCTTGAAACCTATGATTAAATATTCATACTTCAAACAATACAACTTTTAAAAAGTGGGACATTTTTTCTGACTCACCCTGTATAGCTTACTGACTGCGTGACTGCATGTCAGCAAAACATGAATTTTATCTGTGGTGGCATATATGCTTTCCGACTTTGCCAATAATAATTTTTGCAATACATTAAGATGTCGAAAAAGCTTTGTAATAGATAGTAGAGTCTCAATGAGGAGGCAAAGTAGGCAAAGTAGAATCTCGAAATGCCATCATCATCATCGGGAAGCTAGCATCTTCACACTATGGCGCTGACCCCAAAACTGTACAAAGTGCAGCTGTTGCCCTCTGCATTTCATCCGCAGAATATGCTTGCTTGCCCAGTTTGGAGCAGATCAGCCCATGTGAAGAAGCTTGACACCACACTCAATAACACATATTGAAAGATAACAGGCTGTCTGAAACCAACAAAAGTTGAGGAGATATATCACCTCGCTGGCATTGGATCTCCTAACCAAAGGCGCACTAACACTTGCCTAAAGGAACGGATGAAGCAGGCGACAGATGACAGACACATGCTACACGGATACTTACAACCCCACAAACGACTTATATCCCGACACAGCTTCCTCGATTCTGTCCCACCACCTGAACAGAATCCTCCACCATCAGCCAAGCCCGTACTCATCAAAGGGCTTAACCTGAAGTGGCCGGAGTGGCAATGCCTAAATCGAATGCGGACGAGAATGGGGCGGTGTAAGGTCAATATGGCAAGATGGGGCTATGCCCATGAAGGAGATATACTCTCTGCGACTGCAGAGAGACTCAGACGATGGACCACATCTTGCAGTGCGGCGGAACGGGTTGCACAGATGAAGACCTGGCCTTTGTTAATGAAACGGCCATTGCAGCAATCGGGCGATGGAAGAACTTAATTTAATTTAATTTACTTTTAATTAAGGAACTTTACATATTAACTATCTTGATCTAAGGAGACACGAACGAACGAACGAATGAGGAGGCCTACTTAGTAAGAATGTATGATGTAGATCATCCATGACGGTAAGATTAGTTCAGTTGACACCTATACGGTATAGGACTAACTTGATGTAGATTCAAATCTTTCATTTCCTCATGGATCCGTACCAATGGACACTTCCTGAGATACCAAAGTAAAATAATTTCGCAACTGCTCTTATGGGACCATATTAAGGCACAAGAGATTGCCCGATAATGACATACATAGATCATTGAGAGAAAGACACTGGTTTAGCAAATAACTCACAAAGTTATACGAAAATAGAACTGATAGGGAAAGACTGTCAAGTCTGTATTAATATGCTCGTCCTTGTAGCGGTAGGATTTGATAAACAACTGAGTTTTGATAATACGTATTGGTTTAACACAGTCATGCAAGATACTCACCTATCGGCGGTCCGCAAAAAACTTGTGCGATGTGATCAGGGTTACATTGGACATCATTCGACTTAACTGTATACACACAATCTCCTATCTGCTCTTCAGTTCCGTTGCAGTGATAGTCCAAGTAAAAGATGGTTCCAGATAATGGTCCAAGTGAAACTGGCTTTTCACTTCTTCCGTACTGGTATCCTAGCTGTCGACAGGTCACATCTGCTTCTTTATCACTCCAATAAGGATCACATATCACACCAAGTTCAAATCTATTTCGGTATTGAACTACACCTTCATAGCTGCTAGATCCACTTAGGAGTCTCACAACGGCCGCAGGATCTGTATTGTGAAATAAGATTTTAATAGCAAAGGTCGTTTAACATAGGACTCAGATGTTAAGTAGTCTTTAGCATACAAATGTCATATTAATTGACCTACCATTACACACAACGCCTGCACCATAGTTCAGGTTAGCATCACAGTTTTGGTTGTTGGCCCATCCTAAAGATTCACAATCGGCTAAATGGGTCTCAACTCCTTGACATTTCATGTCGTCCAGTAGAAAAGGTCCATCGCCTCCCTCAAACATTTTTGTGTTCCTTGCTCCGAGAGGGAATCCAAGTTCTCTACATGCAACATGGGCATCATCAATGGTCCAATTGGTAGAACAGATTCTTCCCCATTTACCCCCATAGTAAACTTCAACGCGGCCTTCATCGTCAAAATCGCCGTCTACAAGTCGGGTAACTGTAGTTCAAGATGAGACAAAAGAAAAGAGCTGTCTTGTAAACAGTCGGATGGTACATACAATTTATTTGAACATGCCTCGTGTTTTCATGGGAATATTTCTTTGATGGTTTTACGATCAAGAAACTTTGTGTCAGTTTACGTGACAATTAGGTAATGAATCTCTAGATGAAATATATGCTGGCGTTCTCATTATAAGATATTAACCCTCGAATTCCTCTAAAAGATTATCGGCATGCTTTCCTTGAAACAAACTGAATTGAAAGTCACACTCAATTTCTTCTCACAAAATTATACAATGTGTTTAAAAAACTAATTAGTACTGTTTACATCGGATAGTAGGATAATTCAAGAAAAATGAAGGTTGTGATGAGAATGTCAGGGACAAATTGAAACAGACAATACTTTTCCTATACTTTTAATGGACGAATTTCTTAGCATTCAGTTTATATAATGATCAAAATATCACGATGTATTGATATGAATGACAGGCTGAGCTACAAAAGGTTTACAGCATAACATCTCCCGATGAAACACTCTTGTGCTAGAAACTATATGTTTGTAGAGGTACTATAAATTTGGCAAAATTGATCAATGATTCAAAGAAATTGAAAGGAGATTTTACTTTCTCTGTAAATTAAATGAAATAGACAGGATCTGCAACTTCATTTTTCATATGATTTTAATCTTGAAAATAGAACTAGACGATGTTTTAATTTAGGAGGAACTTACGTCCCATGTCGCATGTTATTCCTGCATCCTCGCCATGAGTACAGTCGTGAATTCCCCATTCTTTTGTTACAAGACAGTCTCTTAAATGTCGCTTTTCACTTTCACAATCGAGTCCATCAAGAAGAATAGGACCAGATCCCGAACCAAAGACTGGCTGTGTGTTGGGATAACCTACGTTGACTAGGGCTTCTAAAGCATATGGGTATCCTAGCTGTCTACATGCTACTCCTGCATCGGTCTTATCCCATCCATCGTCACATATTGTACCCCAGTCTCCAGATTCTCCCAGAATCTCAACACGACCCTCGCCAGGTACAGACCCACCGGCTAGGCGAAGACTTCCTGTGCATGTACATTAAATACAAACATATTAAAATATACTGAATTATTGTATTCCATAATGAAATATATTGCAAAAATAACTAAAACGTAATTTTGTTTAAATAATTTACAGGCACAACCGCTACAAGTGGATCTTTAATACAGAACATGACCAGTACATAATTACGACAATGCAGAACTAGTGCCATACTGTTCAAGATTGTGTTATGACATTCTACAGGTGTGTCAAGTCAAGGAATTCAATCTTGTGTCAGGTCGAATCTTGACCATATTGCATAATATGGAGTTTCTTTCTCGTCTCTCCAAACTCTGCTTCTCAAAAAAACCATACATTCTGACATTACTGTTTGCAAGCATTTTTTTTTGGGGGGGGGGAGTATTGACAATTCTTAGCCTTCGGTGTCATAGCTGTATCGACAATATAGAGAGCAGAAGATGACTAAAAAAGGAAAGAAAAAGAGGGAATTTGTCCATCTTTCTGTACGACACTCTTGTTCATCTTTTCATTTCAATATTACTGTTTGTATAAACCTTATTGAACCTTACCCTGACTCGTGCACACGACACCAGCATCTCTCGAATGGTCGCAATTTGTAACATCCACAAGATCATATTTACAAGTTGAAAGATTGCCCTCCGTTCCATTACATTCCATGTTACTAAACAGGACGACACCTTGACCTTCGCCGTACTGACCCGCTACCAATGCTAGGTCTGCTCCACTGTAATTCAGCTGCCGACAGACAACAGTCGCATCCTCGATGCTCCACAGGCTGTCACATATAGAACCCCATTGGTTGTCATAGAAGACTTCAACACGGCCTTCAGATTCATAGATACCACCCATCAGGCGAACAGACCACGGGGCTACATCAAAGTGAATAGAAACAACATCGATCTTATTATGTGAACAATCGTGCGAAACAGTCTTAAGAAGTCAAAGGGATTCGAGGTTTACAATGAATTATCTTATTATTGCTCCGATTTACTTTCGCCATTCTGTATCTCTTATTTTCTACTTTCATACACATGAACTTATTTCAAAGGTTAGATTGTCCTTAATCAACACACGCATGCGTGTTTTATACCAATCGGATGCATAATAAAAAAAAATGTTTTAAAAAAGACGTAGACGAGGACACTCAAACCAATTTGAAATTCGCTACACCAACTCGGGCGTCTATGCCAACTCATATTTCCGAAGGACTGTAAAGACATGGAACAACCTACAACAAGCAAACATCGACCAAACCTCCCCGCTTTCATTTAAAAATGCAGTTACTAAAGAACTTTTTTCCAAAATGTAATCGTCCACCCTCCACCACCTCCAGTCAAAACTCTTCTTCGGAGTATTCAGGATGAAAAGAATCCAAGATCCAAGATCAAACTGCATTCGGATGGTAAGTTTTAAAACAATGCGTGGAAAAAGAAACTGATGGAGTGATACATACTGCGATAATCAGATCGTATGCCTGCAATCAAGTAATGCGCATATCACATGCGCGTACGCAGGGGAGGGGGTGTTTTGGGGGTTAAATAACAAGTATGGAGGGAAAAGAAAGAAAGAGAGAGAGAGAAAGAGAGAGAGAGAAAGAGAGAGAGAGAGAGAGATTCCCGGGAATTCCCGCTGAACAAATACACATTTTTTTTAAATCACATATTATAAAGAAGAATGAGCATTGATTAGATAAGAAGTTCCAAAGGATACCTGCATAAACCTTAGCGTGGTAATAAGTATTAACAAAAGAAATAAAAAGAAGTAATTTCATGACTGCACGCAAAGGTAATATTCCGCGCTTGCATATACGGATAAGGACCTAATTAAAGTCCTATGTCTTTGCGTGGGGAAAGTTCATCGATTTAATTCATTTAATTTTCTTTAGGGGAGTATTGAGTTTTGGGAGGGTCAGGACATTGTCCAGATTATCCTTCAACCTATTTGTAATTACAAAAAATTAATCAATATTAATTTTTGGAAAATTGTGATTTAACTTCTCCGAACAAAAACAAAGAACAGTATAAGGGGTAATGATAGTGGGCCACCATAAAAACATTTAAGCCTATTTGACTAAAAAAATGGATTTTGTACAGTTTTAGATTGAATTGTTTTGAAGGGGTCTCTTAAATAGTGTAATTTTACATGTTTTTATCTTATAATACTTTAACCAAATTTCTCAATTAGATTAGTTGAACTTTTTGACCCTTCCCAGAACTCAAATCTCCCTTTAAGTAACCAAAAAGAATAATTTTGGCTCTAGGAGGCCACTTTTTCCCCTTGATTATGGATGCCTCCTGACGCGGCAAATTGAAATAACGCAATATTGGTTTTAGAGGGGCACTTTGCTGGAATTGAAATTAATTCTTCGACCATGACGGGGCACTTTATATTCAGAAGGACAGGAGGACACTCTTGCGCCTTGAAAAGATTTTCTTTTTCCCCTGATTGGGAAAACTAACACGATATTGGCTCGATAATGGCTCTGAGAATTTTTCGACCATGACGGGGCACTTTACGCCACTTGAAAATGATAATGTCATCCCTGATAGGTTACTTTAAGAACTCAAAAGGAAAATTTTATTCTAGAAGGGCACCTTTGTCCCATTAGAAAAATGAAAAATTTCGCCCCTAACGGGGCATGTTGCCAAAACGGAACACTTCAGGTAACCAAATTCATTAATTATTGTCCATGTTCACATGATATGATGATAGTCATTTGTTATTTTAACTTATGTCACGTATTTATGTATTCGTAGCTGCCATTTTATTATGTATAGGCCTACTTTATTACAATTTTATATATTGTACGTTGTTCCCAAGACAGGTGTCAGTCTTCGGACTGTTTGTTCTTGGTTTTTGATGTGATTTGCTTTGATTTAAATAAATCCTATATATACACACACACTCATAACATATAATATAAATCGTTCAAAATTTGACGCAGTGGAAAATAAAGTGACAATTATGCTTCTTATAGTGACCACCACCACTGGAACTTGAAAACAAAAATCGTATTTCCTTGTGTACCCACGAAAAAGCAAGGCCCCAGTGTCGCTTTGCTCCCTCGCCGGGTCACCGTACTAAATAATATGCCATAAAATTTCAAACAACCCCCTTTTAAAAATTCTGCGTACGCCACTGCGCTCATACTTAAAGGACAAGTCCACTCGAAAAATAACTCACTTTCAATAAAAGCAGAAAAATCAGACAAACCAATCAAAAAAAGTTTGAGCAAAATTGGATAATAAGAAAGTTATGAATTTTTGAAAAGTATGTAAAACTATGGAACAATGAGAATCACAACACAAATTGCCAAGATGGTTATCAGCTTGTGACGTCATGTCCTCACAACTTATCAATTGCTTTATATAGTTTAATCTCATTAATTTCCCTTTTTATCCCCCAAAACTTAATTTTCCCCATGCCTTTGCCCTGGTTATATGATTTGTATCATAGCTGCATGCATGACATTTCCCAGAATTTGTTATGAATTTTTAAGAATTGATACTACTTTCTCAATATTGTATTTCATAATTATTGATTTTTATATAAATAGCATATCAAAATTCAATTTTTCATGATTTAACTCTACAAAAATTACTCTTTATTTGTGCATCCACACAAAGACATATTAGTTATTACTAACAATCTAACTTGGATGCTGGTGTGAAGAAATAAGATTCTTAGGGTAAAAATAGGAAATTTACATTATCAATATAAAGAAAATAATTAGTGGATAGTGAGGACCATACGTCACAGACTCATGAGTGAGTTGCCAATTTGTGTAGTGATTTTCAAAGTTTTTCATGTCATTACAAATTCATAACTTTCTTATTAGTTATCCGATTTTGCTCAAACTTTTTTTGATTGGTTCGTCTGATTTTTCTGGTTCTACTGAAAGTAAGTTATTTTTGGAGTGGACTTGGGCTTTAAATCATATTCTTGGTTTATAGTGCTTCATGCAAACAACCATTTACGATGTCCCAAAGCGATTTTCAGAAAAACCTTTATACTTGTATATGTACTCCTTGATGTAAACGATTAAGCTTTATCATTTGTAGCGTGGTACGTACAGTGATTGTTAGACTATTAGAGAATGTTATGATCAAATGGTTTAAGGGCTGCCATTTTATAATATCACTGGATGCAGGTAGGCTATACTCCTATATACATTCATGAAAGCAGGGTACTAAACACAGAGGAGAGTATACCAGTATTACACGTTCGTGGAAGTGACAGATTCCCCATGGTACACATGCGACATTCGTCTATACTGCTAGAGTCGTGCATAATTATAGATGCAGCTATACATCGAAAACGGGGCACGTACATGCGCCTATACTTAGTATTGCACTGAAAAATTACCGCACAATATGAAATTGATTCTACACTTACCTTGCCCGACTGTATTATTCTGTGCTACAGCATAGTGAGAGACAAAGCATGTCCCTACAATGAGAGAATAATGCAATATATGAATGGCAGACATCTTTGTGTTATACCCCACACATCAGCACCCAGTACCCAAGATCGTAGTATGCCTCTATCACAGTCAGGTCGTCTTTCCAACCCAAGTCACTAAAGGGTTGTGCCGTTGCCATACTAGGTTGGTATTTGATTACTCACCCGATCGCCTTCGTATTATTTAACAGATTGAAGAGGTGTTTTTCATAGCGCCATACTAATAAGTCTTATATTCAAATGGGGAACCCATTTTAAACCCCAGCCCTCTTTATGAAAAAAAAACAACTCTGAAAGAAAAAGATTTTAAAAAAAGGTTCTCATTTATGGCAGTTTCATGAGGTTTTTTAGGTAGAGTTCAACTGTTTGATAATTAGAATATGGATGAATGATTTGCGTTTCTATGAGCATCATCATGTTCAATATCATCATGTCAATGCAGGCCTATTAATGACATGACTCATAATTTATTTATATTGCCTCGTCATAATCCTTTGGTGAGTGAGAGCTAGACAGGTTTTATTCACATTGACACAGCGGCTTCCAACACATCTGAAATCAATGAGATTCTCGCCTATTATCTGAGATTGCACAACATTATAGTTATGGCAGTGTGTAATTGAATTTATAGCTAGGCTACCATGATCTGCCATGTAAACGATTTCACTCGCATTATAAATGATCTGAGGTTTTTTGTATACATGTAGGCCTGTATACATGGCATCTCTACAACGGCTATGAATGCTACTTTCCACTGACATTTTATTTTCAATGCATAATAATTTCGTTATCAAGTTACTCGATGTTCTTAGTTCTATTGTGTGTAATTTATTCTGCCACCTCTCGGGTGGGGGTTATGTATATTACAATGCCTATACGCACCGAACAGAGCTGGCTAACAAACATATTGGCTAATTACCAAACGTTTTAGTCTGTTTTTTTCAAAATTTCATCGGGGCTTCACTCAGCTAAAAGTACAAATGGTACAGATCACGTACTAGTACGTCATACCTGTTTGGTATATAGGACGTTTGTATTCATTGTATACGAGTTCATTTTGGCGCTGATGATGAACAAAAAAACCTGAACATTCACTTGTTAAACATAATTTAACACATATGAGTTCCTTCCAGGATACCTCCTCCCCTCTGAGCCTTTCGTTTAATTATTTCCTCTATCTCATTGTATTGTATTCATTCTCTTCCAAGTATCACGACTCCCTCTCGATCTCTCTTTATTTTTATTTTATTTATTTATTTCACATCTTTATACAGAGTATCTTGTTCAATTACATAATCATTACGAAACATTGTTAAAATAGGCTGGTTTACCACACGGCTCTGTTTAAAAAGAACATAAAAATGACAATGAACAATATTATATATAGA